CCTTCGGGCTATCTGTATCCTATGTTCATCGAGAATCTCTGTTGTAATTTTTAAGCTCCCAGGAAATTAATAATACTTATAACTTTATAATATGATTTGCACTTAGAAAGAAAACATGTACTTGGAGGACTGTAAAACTAAAATTTTTTTAATTATTATTTTAAATATTTGTTTTTGATACTTTTTTTGATTTATTATATACAGATATAGGCTAGCTGCAAAATTTATAGTACGTAATTTTATTTTTTTATCAGTTATTATAATTTTATGTACATGTAGTATATGAGCAAATAGAATTAGCAGTTATATCTAATAATACCTGATTAGAAACTTGAAAAATTAGCATTTTTTTTATCTTATGTTATTTTTCAATGGCGTAATTTTTTGGAAGTAGACATCCCACGTAGTGTCATCGTGATATCATTATCATGGCTCTGCTACAATACCATCGCCTGTGCATTTCTATTATATTCCCTGCATTTACGAAAGTTATAAAATCAGATTATATAAATACATAAGTAACAAAAGCAATAGCTGATAGGTTAGAATTACAGATTAGATCAGATTAACTTGAAAAGGAAAGAACAAACAACGTAAAATAATACGTTAACATAATTACGTCAACGTATCTGGTACGTACGTATGTACGTACGTGCGTACGTAAACTGCTATACCTGATACGTAAATAATGTTACGTCAGTTGCTTAGAAGGTCACGTTGGAGTTCCGATTATATAAAAGATTTCTTTCTTCGTGTTAATTCTCAATATCAACACGAATGTTTTCAGAAAATCTTCCTTATGCAGCCGCCTTGGAAGGCGAGGCTGAAGCTTTACTAAACGTCATCGTAGAGCGCCTATGTTCCTCGGCAAAAGCGCAAGATTGGGGCCCGGGCTGTAATTTTTGGGTAAAACAGCTCAACGGGTAAGATACACTAGTTGAATTTTCTTATAACCAGGAATTAAGTGAACATTTAACGTTTCTCGGTTTAATCCACGCAAAAATTGTGATAAATAAATTTAAACCGTGTACTAGTTATCTTGATCTCCAGCACCCTTTATCACGCCAAACTCGCGCTCAACTAGCCCACGTTCTTTTCGAGCTCGTTATCACACCTGGAATTGACGCATCTCATGCTGAAGTTTTTGCAACTACTTGTATACGTTTACTCAAGTATGTTCGATTGGATTAGCCATTTACTTTTTACTTATTATAACAATTAAGAAATTGTTATTTACATTGTTTATCATTGATAAAGAAAAAAGGACAAAATTGGACCGGAGGATTTAACACTACCATGGGAACCATTATATGATATCATTCACCGAACTTTTTTCCCAAAAAGTCGACAGAAAACCTTAGTCAGTGAATCGTATCCTATTTGAAATATTTTCTTACTACGCATTGACCCTAATTACTCGTAAAATAGTCCTTAATTCACAGAACCATTATCAGTAAACAAATTGGATCTGTGGTACGTCTAGTGGAAAATGCGCAAAGGTAAGATATTAGGTCTATTTAAATGATTTTATTCTATTTGAATGGCAATAACGAATTTAAATTTTTTTTTAGATTTTTTCCTCCAGAAGCCGCAAATGAAATTCTTTCTCGAGTGCTTCCTCTTTTTAATGCCAATTCTGTTGGAGATGCATTCACAGTACAAGCCTACCTCGTTCGATTCCTTCCAACTGGGCCATCTCCCAAATCATCTCCTTCCACATGGTTACCTACTATATTCTCATTTTGGTACCTTATCCCAGGTTCATTGATGTATCAAATAGAGTTTATAGATCTTGTTGCTCGCGTTGCTGAAGATAATGTTGGTGTTGAAGTTAATAGTCCTGACCAGATAGGCATTTTTACTCAAGCACAAGTTAAAACTGTATTTGCAACTGGTCAAAAAATGATGGATTTGCCTGTGGGCAGTACCACCAACGGCAATAATAGTTCTGGAAGAGGTGGATCAATGTCAGGATTACCTTCAAGAATGGATCTTAGAACAGGCAGCGCCATGCTTTTAAGGAAAAAAGGGGTAGGTTCCGTTTAACGGTTAAATATATTTAGACATTCATTCTTTACAAATGATTTTCAACCGATTTTAATTTAATGTATGCATAGGACAAATTCAAAATGCTAGCCAGGTTTATTGTATATGCTATCTTTCCACCCTCTAATCATCCCCAAGAGAAAACAATTCTTACATATTTAGCGAATATGATTCAAGCAACTGAATCATACTATCATCCAAGTAATTTTGGACGATGGACCTTTTCTATCGTAAGATTTTTACAGTTTCTTGGGTGGGAGTTCTTAAAACGATGGACAGATGGTATTGATTGTTTGATTTGTTTATAAATGTTGTTTACCAAGCTTTTATTCGTTAGTTTAAGATATTATAAAAAAATTTTTTTTTGTATAGAACACAAGCCAGAATGTAAGACACCAGAGTCACGGCGTCTAACACCTGAACTTAAACGGCAATTTGTTCTTATTCTTAGAGGGGTTACATTCTTATCAATGTTTGGCAAGGACCCATTATCTGTTGGATCGAGTCAAGCTGCGTTAAAATATTTAGCCTGTATCCTTTATTGTTTATGAAATATCAACAATAATCTTACATAACGATTGTTCCCCTAACGGAAATCATGTATTAAAATTTTTTTGCAGGGCTAGAACCTTCATTAATATTTCCAGGGTTGTTAGGACGCGTTTATCCCTCTTTAGAAAATCTAACAGAGGTACAAAACAATATCCACTCATTATCATATATAAGTTGGTTTGTTAGCTTATGAACAAAATATATATGTGTTTCTTAGACTCATAGAACGACATCATCCATATCAGCTCTTTCGCTTCTGGCGATTCCACTTTTTTCTCGTGCCCATTATCCTGCCGGTGGAAAGCATCTTGCCCCGCTTCTTCATTTAACAATTCCTGGGATTGACATGAATGATCCAATAAAAACAATTTCATCCCTTATTTTTCTTACACACGCTGTTATGGGCGTCCCTTTAAGAGATTTGACTGAAGGTAGTACCACAGAATCTGGATTTAGGTGGGAAGGGATGGATATTGATGAAAGGGAAGAAGATCAAATAGAAATTAACGTAGAGGAAGAAGATGCCTTATGTAAGGCTAGTACTGCTGTATTTGAGGATTGGCTTGCAAAATTTTTAAGGCGCGTTTTCACTATTGTATGTCACATGGATTTTCTCTTTAAAGTGCAGCTCTCAATTAATTGTATTAAGCATATGGGCGGATCGCGCTCATTTTGTGATATCTAAAAATGATCACACTAAAATAAGTGATGTAATAATATTAATCTCAGCTTATTTAGTCATATATAAATTGATTAGATTAAAGTAAGCTAAATACCAATACATAATCACAATTAGACTATCTTATTACAACGTGATCATATTTAGATATCACAAAATGAGCACAATCCGCTGGGGTGTCAATCATCGGTCTAGTGTATTAAACCTAGGTGCCGCACAAAAAATGCGCGGATGATCCTCGATTTTGATTGGCTAACGGCCGGCGATCTTTGAAATTTTGGCCCGCATTACAAAATTGTTTACTAAATTCCGGCCAGATTTGACTTTTTAATTTTTTTATTATAAAAATAGAAATTTTTAAAAAATAAGCACGCATTATAGTAAAATTGGCCCAGGAACAATTTTCACTTAATAGGTGGTTGCAATTTCATTAGTAAAATTATGAGTAATTTCTAAACTAATTTTTAATTGTTGCTTTTAGCCAATCAGAATCAAGGATTATCTATGCATTTTTTGTGTGACACCTGGGTTTAATCTGTCTATCCGGAAGTTGGAGCAATACAATAACCAATCAAATTTAAGAAATTTTTTTTGCCAAAATCTGGGGCAAATTTCATATTGTAGTATAGATAACTAGCCTTGTTATTTATACCATTTAATTTAACATGCAAAGAGTAAGAAATATGATTAAATAAGAAAAGAAAAGAAGCAACAAAGGATAACAAAAAGGCAATAAAAGAGAGTATATAATATAACAAGTATATAGCTAAAAGAATAATATTTATTTATTTGAGAATAGTTAGGAGAATATAAGTTAAAACCTGGCAGAACTTTTTTTGGCTTGGGCAAAAAGACAGGGTTTTTATATTTTTTTAGAACTTTATATAAGAACAAATAATATTTTGTGTTAACAAGTCTGTGTCTGTGCCAATGGGTTTGTACTAATAGGTCTGTATCAATGGGTCTGTGTCAACAGGTTTGTGTTAACGGGTCTGTACTAATGGGTCTGTATCAACAGATTCTGCATCACAGGGGTGACAGATTATTATTTGTCATTTTCTATAATTATATATTTTTAAACCTTAATAACTTGTTAACTATTAACAAATGGTAAAAACTACACAAGGAAATTGATATCAAAGATTCTATTGGTGGAATCAGATTTATACTACAATTAGAAGTTACATGAAGTTACTTAATAAAAATTTAAAAATACTAATATATTACTAATATAACACTACTCTCTTCTTCAAAAATTTTACTCCGTAAAATTTAAGAAGTTAGTAAGTAGTTTACAAATAAAAAAATAAATAAACTAAATAAATAGCTAATAATAAAGTAAAATAATAATATTAATAATAAATATAAAAGTTAAACATAATAAAAGTGCAAACTGTAGTCAGTACTGTTACCGCAGTGTACCGGGTATGACAGGCTACTGGCAGGATTCGAACACATAGCTGTACACTGCTATACGCTCTACCCACTATACCACAGTAATGTGTACACAATAAAATTTTTTCTGCACTCTTTTTGAAGATCAATTTTTGTATAAGGATTGTCTAATAATATTGTTTGATTTGTTCTGACAATCTTCAAAAATAGTAAATTGGGCTATATATTACACTGCATACACTTGTGCTTTCACCCAATTTTTATCATTGTTTCTTGTAAAATTTTCTAAAATGACTAAACATTCCAACAACTATAGTCACCTCAAATGAAGTTTTTATCATTATAATAGTGATAAAAATAATAATAATAATAATAATAATAGTAATAATAATAGTAGTAATAATAACGATAATAATAATAATAATGGCAAGGTTGTTATTATCTCTGACAACAAGCTGGTTCAGGAAAAACCAGTTCAAGAAAATGTAGTTCCTGAAGAAGTGGCTTTTGAAGAAGTAACTCCAGAAGTCATAGAAGAAGTAATAACCTATCTTTATATTCTTGAAGGTTTAGGTTTTGATGAAGAGCAGTAGTAGGTATAAAATAGTCAAAAATAAAAATAATAGTAATAATAAAGAAAATAATAAAAAAAATTTTTTTTTTTTTTTTTATATAAGTTTCCGGCAAGAGTATCGAATCTTTTCTCGTCAACTAGCATCTGTTTAAGAGCAACTTTAGTTGGCAGGAGTACTAAGTCAAGATGCTTTGTCATCTCGGTTGGTAAGAAAGAAAAAGAAAATTATGGATAGGATTGAGGCAATGAAGAAGTAATGCTTTAGTAAAGGATACCAAGTTTTTAGGCATGGGAATTGTAATTTGTATTTCTCTTTTTTTTTTTAAGGAAATAAAGATTTTAATTTTTCAATTTTTCAAATTGTTCGGTGGTTATTTTCTCAAAATCCGCAGTATATTCTTCTAATGAATTATATAGTTTGTTAAGCCCATATTTTTAAAACACAGCGTAAACTCTTGTTGCTTGAGTTTGAAGTCGATTAGCACCAGATTTTCCAAATTTTTCTAATAATATTCTATTGAATTTTCTTTTCAATTGTTTATTATTGCTATTATCAGCAAATAGCTTTCCCAGATAATATATTATTTCTAATTGTGAAATTCGTTTGTTATTGTTTCATCTAATTTTCTTATAGGCTTTAATAATTTGATTGAAAATTAACAATTCATCATTTCCATTAAAAGGAGAGACTAGTATATTTTCTTCTATAGGGCTTCATTTTAAATCTCTCATTATTTTGGCGAGTGAAGAATCTTTATCATAGGACTTGTCCTCAATAGACCTTCCTTCTCTATGCTTGTTAACAGAAGGTTCTTCATTGTTTATTTCTTCGTCCCATTTTGCATTATCATTATTAGGACTTGAAGTGGTCTAATTATAATTATTAACTCCATCAAGATTTGGCATATTTGTGCGATGAAGTGTTTCCCAATCTTCATGATTAATAAATTCTTCGAATAAGGACTCATACATTGTAGAATTATTACAAGTATCTTGAAGCATGTTATTAATAGGTATTACAATTCTGGTTTCATCATTATTGATTACTGTAATATTTTCTTGATCAATTTCTACGGTTTGGTAACTATATATTCATTGTTTCTATTCTTTTAAAAATTGTTGCAACCCTTGCAATGCTTCGGTGGAGAATTGGTTAAAAAAAGATTCATTTAATTCTTGCATTGTTTTCGAATAATAAATAATTAAAAATATAAGAGGAGATATATATATAAAACTACTAATAAAATTTCTAAACTAATTATTAAAGGATTTTTAGAATTTAGAGATTTTTAAGAAAAATACTAGAACAAAGGGTGTATTTATAAAAGTTAAGGTTATACGATCTTTGTTTGTGGACTGTTACTTTGTGTGATGATAATTTGGGATACAGGTAGATTCTTAATTTCTTTTTCGTAATGCACTTTAAAATGATTACCATGAACTGGATCTTTAACCTTTTTGCCATCTAATATTTGTAGTTTATAGACTCCAAGATCTAATATATCATGGATTATATAAGGGCCCATGAATTGTTCCTCTAATTTGACAGAGAAAACATTTTTAAGAAATGATTTGGCAACTAGGACTTTGTCACTAATTTTTAATTTGTCGATTTTAATATTTTTGTCGTGGTATTTCTTTTGAGCTTTTTGTGCTTCTTTAATATTTTCTAAAGCTTCTTCTTGTTGTTTTAATAACACATCTTCTATTTCAAAAGATCTTTTTAAGAGAGCTTCTTGGAACAATTCATTTTCATCATAATAGGTCTCTATAATTGTTTCTATTGGTAATTTTGCATCATGACCATAGATTAGAGAAAATGGTGTGAATTTAGTTGTACCATGCTTCATAGTACGGTATGCTAATAATAAAAAAGGAAGAATTTTATCACATTCCTTGTATTTATAGTTTGTTATTTTTGCTAAAGCTTCATCAATAGTTCGGTTAAATTGTTCGATTATCCCATTGGTTTGTAGTTAGTAAGCAGATGATTTATAATGTATTATTTGAAAATTATTGCACAATTCTTTAACAATATCACTCAAAAAATTTGTTCCTCAGTCAGATAGTAATATTGTAGGTATTCCATGTCGACAAATAATATCTTCATATATAAATTTAGCAACAGTTGTAGCTTTTACATTAGTTACAGCTCTTGCTTCTGGCCATTTTGTCAAATAATCCATAGCAACAATAATATAACGATTGCCTTGCTTGGTTGGAGGTAAAAGTCCTTTACTATCAATTCCAACTCTATGGAATGGGTATTTACTTCTAAAAGGATTAAATTTTGTAGTTAAATTTCATGTCCTCTATGCTGGCAAATATCACACGTTTGTATATAATTTTTGATAGCATTGTACATAGTAGGCCAATAATATCTTTCTTTTATTTTGTTGTAGGTGGATGATATTCCTAAATGTACTCCTTGT